TAAAACATTTATATAAGGATAATTTATCATCTCAGTTGTTTCTTTTTGTGTACTGGGACTTTGAGTATTTCACACCTTTAACTATTGGAAGGGAAGTAATTTGTATTTTAAAAGACTTAAATCGATCAACTATGTTTTCTAGATATAACTGCTGATGAATCAGGATACTATTGTTCTCATATTCAAATTCTACACCCAAGAGCTTTCTTGTTTTACCCAAAATCTCCGATTTAAAAATTTTCTATAGAAACTGATATTAAAATCGCCGGTATGTTGATAAGTTACCAAATTTCGAACTGTTTAATAAAAGAATTCACATCCACAAAAACAGAAAGTTGTTTAAGAGCTCTTCATTAGAAAAAAATTAAATAATTTTGAAATGCTTGTGTTTCACGCCTTGCTTAGAAACTCCAGTATCCCACCCTTTATATTAGAAACAGGAACAAATTATAACCCATGAACAGATTCAAAAGATAATCATATTTGTCAGTGAATTGCCAAAAATATTCTTCCAAAATGATAATTCACACTCAAAATAGCACTTGTAAAAACAAGACAGAAATTTCAGCTGATTAAAATTGAGGAATTTCTGACGATTTTGGCCGAAATTAAGGAATTTTAAGTACCGAAAATCGATTAAAAAAACTTAAGGACTCTTAAAGGTCATCCTCAATGAACATTATAAAAATTTAACTATTACATTGAGACTAATGAATTATAACACACAAATATAAATAAATCATAATACATATTGTCATGAACTCTCTATACATATATACACTCTTTAGCAAAAAATCGAAGCACCAAGAAGGACTTTTGTGATCGTGACGAAATTTGGTATGCAAAAACATCTTGATCGAACATGCAAATGATCAAAGTTTCAAGGCAAATGAACAGAAATTGCGATTATAGCGCACATTTCTAGTGCGCGATTCGCAAAGTACAAAACCAGTAACAGAGGCGGAAAATTTATCTTTTTTATTGCTTAATTCGGTAAAGAAGCAACAAAAGATGCCATTACAATGATATTGAAGACCTTACAGACAACTAAAAGACTTCGAATGTGGTCGCATTGCAGGGTTGCGAGAAGCTGGGTTGCGAGAAGCTGTGTGTATTGTTGGCAGCAATGGTTGCTACAAGCAAACTGCCAATGAAATGAAGGTTCTGGAAGGCCAGGAAGCCTAAATGCGATGCAAGGCAGGAATATTGTTTGCCAGCCCCGAACCACCCCAACGGTATTGTCATCTATTTAACGCACTACAGCCACGTATATACCTCCCATGGTACCATCCACCATCTCACGGTGCTTGTCTAAGGTGGGGTTACTCTTACAGAGGTCTTTAACCGTTTTCCTTACAAATTTTTTTGAAAAAATTTGAAAAATCATCACATTTAATTTATTATTAAATACAATGAAACCAAACAAATCAAAATATGTAGGTTTTAAGTTGAATTCTTAATTTTTTAAAGGTGTGAAAGCATTTAGTTTTAATACTAGTTTACTATCCCGAATTATCTCGAGCAAACGAAAAAAAATTGAATGTTAGTCTGTGTAATAGGTTTTGAATCAAGGGACAACACAAAGTGATACCTGACATTCTACACCGGTATCTGGTCTCTTTTCTTACTGCTTACCACTGGAATCTCTTTCACAGGAGCACTGAGTACACTGTCTCGTAGGATTTGATTTAAAAAAAAAATTTTTTTTTTTGAAAAATCATCACTTTCACTATCTTGCATCATTGTCATTATTTTATTTTTTTCAATGCATGTATCCTTAAATGCATGTATCCATAAACATTAAAATCCACAAGCCGACGTATACTATACAATAGGGAAACACGTGACCACTCTCTCCAAAAGAACCGCACAACTAACAAAATTTGGCAAACTGCCAATCAAAGCTGAATATTTCCTTTCATTTCCTCCAGGCCGAGTAAAACTGTGATAAAACAAATCGTACTAACAAATTCTGCTTGGTCCAAGTTTTCACAGGATAATGATTAATTGCAATATATATGAACTTGAGATAACTTGGGATAATCAGGCAAGCAGTTAAAAAGAATATGCCATTGGAATGAAAGAGGCTGCATGGGTAAAATGTAGAATCATTCGACATTTGTATCTGAGCAGCATAGGAAATAGACAGTGCTGGCATGATTGGGTGAGCAACTGTAGATCTCGATTCATCAAAAAGGCAGCAGTTGATCCAGGGACATACAGAATGAGAAAGTAGAGTGATTATCAGACAGCAATACGGTTAATCGGTATCAGTGGGTAACATCCTCAGAAGTGAATGCTAGAATCTTAGATAGGTAACTCAGTGAGTGGAATCTGCACTTGTGCCACCATTACATTGCTTACTTTTCACCAGTCAAGTACGACTGCAATAATGCTGGGAACCAGTGCAGGATTTACGTATAAGCTACACAAGCTATAGCTTAGGGCGCTTACTTTCTTGGGGGCCACCCAAAATTTAAAATATATAAAGGTCACTATATTTCAAATAGCTTAGGGCCTTATCAAGTCTAAATCCCTGAGCACAACTGACTAGGAATTGCATTGCCTGGATCAGAGACGAGTCCTGGATCAGTGACCAGTCAGGTGTGTTTGAAGATATCCAACATAGTGCTGGAATCCCAACTTTAATATCATGTACCATATAGGCCAATGCTATTCAGTTAAAGCCTTTTCTTTTGATATTGATATCTCTTTTATAGTCATATTTAGCTTTTGCACTACAAAGAGATACATTGATGAAATTCTGTGGCTTATTATTTTGACATTCCCTTTTTGTTACATTAGGCTCAATTTTTAACAAGATAATACTGACAATATGCTTGCCATACATTTCTTTGACCATCAGTTATCTCTCTGTAATATACACATGGGTACTGACTGAAAGATGCCTCAGGCTATCCCACAGTGTCTGCAGATTACTCCATAATTTGGTAAGGAGCTAGCTTCAAAGGATATCATCTGCCAGCTTTATAATGATATGATATGTTGGATAATACTTGTCATTCAGGCCAGAGCTGACTTACTCACTTTTTGTAGCTATTTATTTTGAATGGCCATGCTGTTTTTCTGTAATCACAGTTATTTATTTTTCTGCATACATACATAAAAAAAAAATTATTAATTGTTTTATTGTAATTGACTATGTTTTGATTTGTTAATTTTTATGACTCTGAATTTTGTTCTAAAGGTAGCGGTAGCAGGCAAGCGTTTAAGACGTGCCTTTGACCACACAATATCGGCGGAATCGTCTGGAGTGGTGTCACAGCCGATCATCATTGTTGCCATCAGACTGGCTTCATATAGTGTTCAGCGATGAATCCTGCTTCACTCTTGAAGCAGATGACCACCGTGTTAGTGCCTGGAGAGGATGGGGCTAGCGGTCCTAATCATCCTTTGTTTGACAAAGGCATACAGCCAAATCTCCTGGTGTGATGGTGTGGGGTGCGATTTCTTATGACAGCAGGTCATCTTTAGTCATCCTCCGTACATTTTTAACAGCTCAACGATATGTTGTTTCCATACTGCAGCCGGTTGCATTACCCTTCATGGCACATCATCCTGGGGCCTTTTCCCAACAAGATAATGCCAGGCCACATACTGCTTGCATATCTCTGGACTGTCTCCATGTGGTTGATACTCTTCCCTGGCCAGCAAGGTCACCAAAACGTTCACCAATCGAACATGTCTGAAAATATCAATTTCTCAGTTCTTTAATTCAGCATTGAGTTTGGAATACTGAAAGATCTCCATGAGAGTTTCGCCTTGCATTGCGCATTGTTTGATGTTCTTGATAGTTTAAAGTGTACTCTATGATACTGAGAAGAGCTGTACAAACATTTTTGTGGAAAGTTCCAGAACTGTAAGGTGTCTCTTTTGGTATAATAAATTTTATCAAGCTGCCATCGGTTCTGTGCGCATTCAGTTCACTACAGACCCATATGCATGCAACAATATTTTTGCTCATTAACAGAAGTATTTACATTTACCTTTTATTATCAAGTCACCTGTATCAAGGTAATATATTTTAACAGTATAAGCTAAGTTAAGAATCCTTTTTTTTTGTTAACAAAAGCTTAAAAATATATACAAAAAGAACTCTTTTAAAAACGCATCTGTTATGAGTCTTAAAATTATGCAAAAGAAATTTCAGATCATCTAGCTGTCAAAAGATGAGCACTGATGACTTTAATTTTCTACATGCACTTAAGCCACATGAAGACCTGGACCATTTTTATTCAGTCATAAGATCTGCTGTTACTTGTAACATATTAAACTGTTATTTAAAATATTTTCCCTTATTTTCATTAATGATTTAGATATTATTGTAATGAATGAAAGATTATAAAAATAAAGAGATAAGTAAATGATGACACAAATCTAGCAAATACAGTTCTTTGTGAGCAGATCAAAATACTTTACAGCTGAGAATGTTAAAATGAAAAATTTTAAATATGGTGCCATATTTGTTGCCGGTAAAGAATTTGAAATGAACTGATCTTGAAGTTGTATTAAAAGCCAAATGCTGCATTATTAGGTTTACTATGTCAGAAAAATACATCTTGTGATTCACAATTAAATCTTTTTCATTATCTTTTAAAAAAAAAAGGAGTGGGGACAACAATTTAGAACAAAATTCAAATGATAAATTTGATATATAGTTTAGGAAAAAGGATTAATGAGATTTGCAAGCAGAATGAATAATAACTGAGTTTATAAGTGGTATTTTATCTGAGAATCAGACGATTTTGGAATAAGTAAACATTATTTGAAAAAAATCAATGTGTAAAAAATATACTAACATTTCGTTCAGCAGTTTCTTTTACAGCACATATAGCTGTTTGCAATTCCTTTGTTTTTTGCTCAAATTTATCCACAAATTTGTTTAGATTTTTCGGTATAGCTTCAATAGCAGATTGAATTTTACATGTTGTATTTTCCACACTTCTAGATAAAAATTATGCTGATTAATAATAAAAACATAATAATTTCATCAAAACTACAATAAAATAGTTATGAAACAATATCAAAAGCAATAGTATACTTTTCCACTTTCATTCACATTTAAGATATATCGTCACAAACATCTAAAATATGATTAGGATAATAATTTTATAATAGAAAGGGGGGGAAGGCAAAATTTGAAATTTTATCATGGGATAAATCGTAATTTCATGGACAAGAATATGTATTAATGCAAATTTGGCTAAATGAAGATTTCTGTGATCTTCATTAACATTAAAGAATTTTATTCACATGAAACTTCTCCCTATATACTGAGTGCACATTCTAGTTGCATGTTTTTTTCCAGATTTATTCTGAGAAAGATCAATGTCTAGAAACCATTTTCTGTCAGCTGCGTTTTGATGCTAAATCTATTAATACAAATGATGAGAGCTAGAGAATGTAGCCAACTTATTTTTTCAAGAAAAAATGAGTGGAAACCACAAAAGATAATTACACACATTCTCCAGTTGAATGCATAAGGCCTCATATCTTGAGGTGCAATTTAAGATTTGGAATTTTGATTTAGTTTTAGAACATTACATTTAGATTTCCCAACACATTTTTTGGCTAAATTCTATTTAAGGGAATATCAAAATTACTTCAGTACAAAAATAATCTTATAGTTATAATTGATACTACAAAATAATGAGGAAAATTCTAAAATTTGTGGACTTATCTGATATTTGAGAAAGAATTTATTACTGATGAATTTTCAAAAATTCCCTCAAATTTTCCAAAAGCAACTGTGGAATTTCATTTCATAATAAAATTACTACTTTATATATGATGCATAATGATACAAGATGACAGATGCAAATTATTAGAAAAATCAAGAATTTAAGACTAAAATTACATTAATAACAGGAATGAAAACTGCATATATAACAGAAACCAAGTTAAATATTTAATAAAAATATATTGAAGGATGAAATCAGCATGTCTAATGAAGTCATCACTGATCTTCACTGACATTTTTTATCAGTTATCTTTTGGATAGCTCACAATTTCAAGTTAACTTCATATTTATCAATAATTTTTGTCTTCATAATATTAGTCACTATGTGTCCACCTTTAATGAGCAGCACACTTTGTTATTTATATAAACAGCAGTTATTTAAATTATAGCTTATGTTAATAGCAAAAACTGATATTTCAGTAAAGGTGTTTGTTCACTTTGTGACTAACACCTCGACTAAATAATACATTTTTGCCATTATTATAAACAGCAATTATTTAACTTCATTACAAAAACTACTATCTACATCCACATACAAAAATCTCAAATAAATATCTTTCATAGATTTCAAAGACAATGTGTGGTCTATCATCTAGGATAAATACATAAATTTTTCAGTTTACAAAATGCTACTAAATACACCAAGTACCGATTCATCAATGTTTCTTTTTAAAAACAATTACCAAATTACAAAATAATGCTATTTATTTCATTAAAACATTCATTCAAGTAATTAATATTTTAATTGTAAAGCAAATATATATAACCCTATATTATATAAAAGTGAAATATTGTCCATCAGGTTTTTTTCTTTTTTTGTTGATGGGCTGGTTTTAGGTTCAGGTTTAGTCAATTACGGCAAAGCACACTAAGGCTATCTGTCTAAGAGAAGACTGCTATGCTGCTGTTAAAGAAATTTCTTCTCAAATTTTTATTGAATCAGCAGTGCTCTAAGTGAAAAATTTATTACACATTAAATATAAAAACTGCTTGCCATCAGTGTAACATTTAATTTTTAGTAATTTGTAAATGGCAACATTTAGTATTTAGTAACTTCTGATTGTCAGTACTTTTTGATACATATAAAAATAGAGTTATGCTGGTATTGCAGTTCTCTGTAACATATAATATTCTATGCTTATAAATGAATAGTTTAAAAAGTACACCCTCATTATTTTATATGGTGTCAGGCGTGCTTTCCTTTCGAAATGGAAAGTTTAAAAGCACCAAAGCCGATGAAATTTGACAGAAGCCTTGCTTCAAATTGGCAAAGATGGCTGCAGTCATTCGGAATATATGAAGTAGGTAATGGATTACATAATAAAAAAGAGAAGGTAAGGTTAATACTTTTCCTCATGTAATAAGAATTCGCGATCTTGAAATACATAATACATTTCCTAGAGGAAAGTAAAGAAATTAAATTAAATGAAATTAAGAAAAAATTTGCAGAATATTGTATTGCTAAGAAAAATATTACATATGAAAAAAATTTATTCTTTATTAGAAATCAAACCGCTTCAGAAACAATAGACGAGTACTGATGTAACTGACCTTTCAAAATAAAGCAAGAACACGAGAGTTTGCACAATTAACAGATAGTCTAATAAAGGATAAAATTGTTTGCGGTGTTAAAGATATAGATAGAGCAAGATTATTACATGAAACAGAATTAACAATAGAAAAACAATAGAAAAAGCTCTTGATATATGCTGATCTGCAGAATTAAGTTCACGTCAAATGAAAATCATAAGATGAGGAAAATATGATGATGAGGGAAATATTTTAAACTTAGTGAAAAAGAAACTAAGTAAACATAATAAGAATAAATATAAAAAGGTAAATATTGAGAAATAGAGACAAAAGTTTGTTCTAAATGTGGAACATCTTATTGGTATCGAAAATGTCTAGCATATGGAAAAAAAATCTGTCGTAAGTGTAAAAAGGCAAATCAATTCCGAATCAGTGTAAAAGATATAAAATAAAAAATGAAGCAGTCAAGATAAACAAAAAAGAGAAACAAATTAAATTAGTAAATCATGACTCTGAGGAAGAGTTAGAATTTTATGTAGGTACATTAAACCTTAATTCAGATAACAAATAAGAGAAATGGACTGTTGGACGTTAATGTAAATAAAAATAAACTTAATTTGCAGTTAGATACTGGATCAAAGTGCAATGTTATTTCTAAAAGCAAAGTGAAACTGCTAAATGTTCGGATACAGAAGTCTGAAATTATAAGATTAGTTACATACTCTGGGAATAAAATGGATACTATAGGAAAATTAGTACTTAAATGCCAATACGGAAAAAAAAAAAAAAAAAAAAAAAAAAAAAAAAAAAAAAAAAAAAATCATGCTGCAGAATTCCAAGTTATTGACTAAGAAGTACCTTCTATATTAGGATTATGATCATGTCTGTAACTAAGTTTGATTAAAAAAATAATGTCTGTTTATACTGAAGACTTACCTGAGGAATACAAAGACATATTTGAAGACTTAGGCTGTGTGAATGGAGAATATAAAATCCATTTAAAACAAGATGCAAAAACAGTAATTCATCCTCCAAGAAAGATACCCACAGCTATATGAGATAAAGTGAAGAAATAATTAAAAAGAATGGAAAATTTTAATGTTATTGTTCTCAATAATTAATCCATTCAGTTGGTTAATTCAATGGTCACTGTTGCCAAACCTAATAAAATAATATGTTTAGACCCTAGAGATTTAAATAAAGCAATGAAATGAGAACATTATTCTATGTTAATCATAGATAAAGTTCTCACTAGAATGCCAAAGGCAAAAATGTACATTTCTTTTATATATTTTCTGGTTTAGATGCCTATACATTTCTTTTATATATTTTCTGGTTTAGATGCCTATACATTTCTGTTTTAGATGCTAAGAGTGCTTTTTGGCAAATCCAGCTTGATGAAGAAAGTAGTAATTTGTGTACATTCAATACAATTTTTGGAAGATACAGTTTTAAAAGATTACCATTTGGCATATGTTCAGTTCCAGAAATTTTCCAAAGAAAATTAAACCAAATAATAGAAGGTCTAGAAGACGTTGAATGCATAATAGATGATATCTTAATATGGGGAACTAATGAAGAGAAACATGACCTACAACTTAAAAGCAGAGAAAAACTTAAAGCTACAACTTAAAGAGAGCACGAGAAAATAATCTGAAGTTCAATAAGGCTAAATGTAAAATAAAAGTTAACCCTGTGAATTATATATAGGACATGAAGTAAGTGAAAATGGGTTAAAACATGATTTTTCTAAAGTGGAAGCAATTTATAAAATGTCACAACCTACAAATGTGTATTCTCTGCAAAGATTCTTAGGAATGATTAATTATTTTGCCAAATTTATTCTTAACTACTACAGTCAAAAGTCTGTTTTAAAAGTTATAAATTAAAGTTTAAAAGTTGCACGTTTAATGTATAACAAACAATATAAGCTAAGCTAAAATTATCTAATTATCTATTTCGGTTAATGTTGCAGATTGCGTTGTTCCTTAATCTTCGATTAAGATTCGGCTTATTATTTTTTGCAGACTGTTAGAGCAATTTTATAAAAAGTAAGCTTGAACTTTCGATTATGTCAAAAAGAGTTTCCGATTCTGGAGCTGTCAAAGGGTCTACAAAGCAAAAGCATGTTTCGATGTCCATTAAACAAAAAGTGGAATTGCTGCAAAAAATGGATAAAGGCATGAAGAAAGTGACAGAAAGGTGATTTGTTTCTTATCAATTTCATGCTGCTCTGCGGGGGGGGGGGGACGTCGTGGCGCACAATGAACTGGCAGTTGATCTGTCAGCACTATCCTCATCTTCAGGGCAGATGATTTTATTTTATTTGGCTTATAATTCCTCACTAAATGTAATGTTTCATCTCAATAATACTCTGATATAATTTAATTCAATTTCCTCATCATTATAAATATCACGAATACACATCAAATAGTTTTCTGGTTGCAATTTTCTAATTTCGACTACGCGTAATGTATGCTTTACGCATGTGTGCGTTGAAAGAACTGTTTAATAAAGTAAACAAATAAATATTAAGCCTTTTTTTTTGCAAATTTTGATACCCTTTAGATCATAACTGCTCTTTATTTTATAAGTTATGGTTTCATATTTTTAATTTTATAATTTTTGCATGACATCTTATCAGATTTAAACTGATGATCTATAATCCGGAAAAACCGATAATCTGGAATCACCGAAGTCTCGACGAGTCCGGATTAAAGACCTTTGACTGTATTAATATTAGTGCAGCTTTAAGATTACTTGAGAAAAATTTTCTCTAGCAATGGACTGAAAAATATCAAAAAGCTTTCGAAACACTTAATAAACTGATTGTAAAACCATCCACATTAAAATTCTGTGATGGTAATAAGGATATAACTATTTCAGTAAATGCAAGTTTTGAAGGGATTAGGTGCTGTTTTACTACAAGAAAATCAACCAATTGCTTATGCTTCCAGAGCTCTAACAAAAAGTCAGAAAAATATGCTCATATAGAAATAGAACTTTTAGCTATTACTTCTGGATGTTCTAAATTTCATCTATATATATGTGGCATATGCATTACAGTTGAAACTGATCATCGGCCATTAGAAAGCATAACTAAGAAACCTCTTTTAAAAGTACCCCAGCGATTGCAAAGAATGCTGTTAAATTTACAAAAATACAGTATACTAAACATATGATACAAAAATACTAGATGTATGATACAAAAAGGGGAAAGACTTGCCATTAGCAGACACTTTAAGTAGAACATATTTGAATATAACAGAAGAAGATAATGATGAAGATACATATAATTTGAATGTTAATTCTAGCATCTGATGACAAAATTTATGAATAGAAGAAAGAAAGTGAATGTGATGCTACACTGCTGTGTATAAAGAAATAGTTTCTGAGAGGTTGGCCAGAAAGGAAACATCGACTGGTTAAATTATTTTGGAACTACAGAGATCAGTTGACAATGGAAAATTACTTATTTTTTAAAGGAAGAAGGGTAATTGTCCCTTTATTGGTGCAAAAAGAGACACTAAATTTAATTCATGAGGGTCACTTTGAGATAGATAAATGTAAGAAAAGAGCTAGAGATGTTTTGTTTTGGCCACTTATGAACAAGGATATAAAAGATAACATTTCAAAATGTCCTATATGTAATGAATACCAAAACAAAAACGTACGAGAGACTATGATACCACATGATGTTCCCAATTTACCTTGGTATAAAGTTGGAACAGATTTATTTGAGATTAAGAAAGATGTATACTTATTAATTGTAGATTAATATTTCAAGTTTTTTGAAATCGCAAATTACCAGATACTCGAAGTAGAATAGTGATCAGTTATATGAAATCTCATTTTGCAAGCTATGGCATACCATTGATAGTGATATTTGATAATGGACCTCAGTTTGCAAGTAAAGAATTTGCCAAGAAATACCAATTTAAACATATAACAAGCAGTCCATACCATCCACAGTTGAATGGATTAGCATAGCGTTCGGTACAAATGACAAAGAAATTGTTAAAGAAAACTCAAGCAGATCATGCCAATCCTTATTCAGTATTCTTAGCTTATACGAACACTTGCTAATGAGATGTTAGGATCACCAGCTTAACAACTTATCAGTAGAAGAAAAAGAACGATTCTTCCTACATCTGAAGAATTATTAAAACCACAAGTTCTGAAAAATGTAAAAGAAAAAGTCAACAAAGAAAGAACTGAGCAGAAGTCATATTAAGATTGTCATACAAAATTGTCTAAACAAAGAAGATTGTGTTAGGGTATATCAAAATATTTGCTGGAAACCAGCAGTTGTAGAAGAACTATGTAAGGCACCTAGATCATATATACTCAGATCAGAAAGAGCAGCATTTAGAAGAAATAGAAAAGACATTAACGGCACTAAAGAAAACAGTTCAGCTGTTGAAGAGAATATCTGAGGAACAGAACAAGGAGTTAAGGCACAGAAAACAGATGTAAAAGAATATGATCCCAGATATTCTCAAGGGCAAAGTTTAGAAAATCAACTACTAAACTCTGCTAACTCAGAAACAAGGGATGGTGAGCAAAGAACTAGAAGTGATTAGAAAGCCAGCCAGGTATTTAGACTGATTTTAGAAAAAAAAAAAAAAAACTTTTGAACTTGTAACATTTAATATTTAGTAATATGTAAATGGCAACATTTAATATTTAGTAACTTCTGATTCGCAATACTTTTGGATACATATAAAATTAGAATTATGCTGGTATTGTAGTTCTCAGTAACATACACTATTCTATGCTTATAAATAAATAGTTTTAAAAAGTTAAAAGTGCACCTTCATCATTTCATAATTAGTACACTGAAAATCTTTTATAAAGCACTTTTACAATTTCCTAAAAGATTTAGAAACATGTTGAATATTACATAAAGATTAAAAAATTGCAACAAACTTTAACGACTATTTGAAATACCAGAGATGTTTCCAAAATTCTAAGAATTTAGATATAATTTCATTTCACGAATTTTCACCAATATTAGAATGCAGTTTTTCAACATAATTCTAATTTAATTTAATACATTTATCGCAATGAAAAACTAATTTTTTAAGCTATCCTCAAAGAACATTTTCAATGTATCCCCAATCCATCTACTTATGGCATGGTTAAATTCTCAAATCGAATACCACATAAAGGTTCTTTTGAATGTGGGAATAGAATACTTCTTGCAGATGTTGAACAATTTCTAAGTTTTCACACTCTCTTTCCACAAAAAGAAAATAATTGCTCTTTGTATCTTCTATGTTTGCAAAAATAGTGCTACAAAAATATGTCTGTATCAGTCAAACAATTAATCAAACTAAACAATACTGCATGGGATAGCTGCATAATCATGTCAAGATTTGTCTCTGGCGAATAACTTTGCCTGTAAATTCTAGGAATTGAACCAGAGCTCACTTCCTAGAACTTTGGAAACTATGTAAATCAGGCTACTGCTACATGTAGAAGAAAGTGATTAAAGTATAACATCAGGAATCAGGAATTACCTTATAATACTTTTGTTTTGATTTTTTGCATCACACAGAAATTTCTTATGAGAATTTTCATGAGCAGATAAAATTTTCTTTATGCTTTCTGAAACTTTACTGCCACATTGAATGCCATCTCTTACTTCGACTATCATATTCTCAACATTCTCATTTGTCTGAAATATTACATCTATGTGTTAGTTTAAAGCTAATTTCTTAAAAACATAACCTAAACTAAACTAGTTTATAAAAACACTAAAACCTAGTTAAAAAAATTAGATTTAAATATTATTCTCCAAATTTTGGAAAAAAAAAGTTGATATTAATTTCTTCTATAAGGTTTAGTAATTAATCAATTGCATACTAAAATCTTATTTCAGCATGTTTTATTTAAATTCCGTGTAAGATCATGAGTTCATTAAATTTTTTCTTCTCAATAACTTCAAACATTAAAATCAAAATGTATTCTTGTAAATTTTAAAATTATTTATATGATGGATGGCTATAACACCAATAAATATATCTTTTTACCATTCTTAATATGGATTTATAATTTTTGAGATTTCTTAATGAATTTATAATTATTCCACATCAATTATTATTTATACTTAATTAGTTCAGTTGCAGCTACATAATCTGGAAATGCTGCTTTATGTACCTTGTTTACTAAATATTTTGTCAATTATAGGTGTTTAATTTTATGAGATAAGTGTAAATAAAAATTCTAGAATGCATTTTCAGCCACAAGATAGAAAAAAAAGCAATGCAGTCAACATATAAAAGCATATTAAAAGCTGAAAAATTATTACTCCTCTTGCTATGCATTTCAAATCTGCATAATATTCATCTTGTTTTTGATTGCACTTTTCTAAGGAAATTTCTACTTCATTTAATTTTCTTTCTTGTTTTCCTATATACAAAACAATAAAATTTAAAACAACACATTAAAGCAAGATTTCATCATACTAAATTAATATTCAATAACAGGTTTGGTTGCATAAAGCATTTCATATGTTTAGTGCAAAACAACAAGAAGTTTTCTCAGTTATATGCTAAAAAAAATAATAAATTTTTCAGCTTTTGAATGCATACAAAATTTATCATAAAATACATATTTTTATTTATTTATATATTGTTTCGAATTTATATGGCTAATGTAAGGAATAAGTTAGATAAAATTTTATGAATAATTTATATTTTAAAATAGTTACATACTTTGATCAACTGACTATTGATTCACAAAGGAAATTTCAAAAGCATTTAATTACAAAAGTGATGCAAGTCCATTTCTCAAAGTCTAATTAACACTGTTACCTGGTTTTTAATTAGGTTATGAGAGCTTGGAGTAGTAAAAATGATTCATTTATGAAAATAATGATGAAAAGAAAGCAAACCGGGGTAACAATTTCAGAGTTCCACATACTTTTATAAAATACTAATGGAGGAGGCAGAACATAAAATTTTAGAATTTTTTAATCTAAGTAAGATAAATTGCCAATATTTGAAAGCAACACATTAATATATTATGTTAAAAAACATGAAAACGTAATACAAAGATATGACAGTTTTGTTTTACATATAGCTTACATACAATGTATGTTTCAGTACATTTCCATATAATGGTTTGAAATGAAAAACCAAATCTAATAGTAAACTCTATAAATAATATAAAACATATAATAAGCATATCACTTTATAAATATTTAAAACTATATAAAACAAATTTGGTTCTCTCCCATTCAGAACTTTCTTTAGGAAGACTTTTGGGCCAAACCATAAAGTTTTATCAATTAAAAGGTAAAGTCACCAAATACATTTTCAGTATTAAACAGCGATTATTATTCAGACTATTTCGTAAAATATTTTGCTAACTTTCTGAGGTAGTATAGCTAATGCAAAAGTACCACAAATGTTTATTTAACAATAAATAAATATAATGTTAAAACTAAAACTAATATAAATATGCTGTTCCTTGTCCTTGATTATTAAAAAAAGGATGAAAATAAATAAACTATGGCCTAAAATGAAAACTGAAGTGAATGAGTGAAATTTAAATACTTTAATGAGCTGAACAATTTAATAATAATGATGAGAGCAGAAATCTATTTTGTGGTTCAAAAGGCACTATCTAGTTTTGTTAATTCTCATATAAATCAGTTATACTTATACAACGAATTGATAAGAATTGCATATCATATGCTTAAAAATTTAATAGATTTTATAGACATTTTTTAATTCTATGGAATGCAAAATTCTTTAATACTTTGACAGAAGGAAAAATAGTAATATACTATTTTCATAACAAGAAGTCTAATTAGAAACTAGTTGACTCCTTATAAGACAAGGAATCACAGATAGGCCTTCCTCACATAATTTTTTAAAGAACACCTTTTGAGGGGATATAGAGCATATGTATGCATTTAAAAGAAAGCTGCTCAAATGCAAAAGAGATGCTTTTGGACAAATTTTTGTAACTAAGTAATTCCCACGTTTAAGAGAATGTTAAAATTTTGTATCTCATTAAGATTATGTGTACTGTGATGAATAATTTCTTTCCACAGTTGAGAAGTTTCTGTCAAAGTAGTTAAAACTGATTATAACTAGTTAAAATCAGCAGAGTATAAATCACCTTCTGCCATAAAAATAGCAATAACTGGTAGAAAATCATACAATAACTAAAAGTCTATTGCATTATTATTAGTAGTACAGAGGAATGTATTTTAGTATTAGAGTTAGGATGTTTACAATATTCATTCAAAGATTACATAGTGGCAGACCTGATCTCTTTTATGAAGCAATCTAGCAAAATACCAATTTCATTACTGTTTCAAAACCCCCCAAAACTTCTTAATTTATTGCAAATGAATTGGCTTGAGTAATTGTGAGTTGACTTGAGAATGTCCTTTTACGCCCAGCAGTTTTGTGCAAAAACAAGGTCACAAAATTTTCATTTGCTGTTGTCTTCTTTAAACTAGAACACAACAGAGAAGTTTAACATCTTGTAAAATTTGACAAATATGTGTGAGGAAAAAAATAGCCGATTTTCCTTAAAATATATATATATATATATATACCACAAAATGCAGATTTATGTCATGAAGTAATGCCCTAATGCTTTCTTCCCTCATTTCGAAAAATTAGATGTAGATGTGTTTTAGGTGAAACATAAAAGCTAGCATATGATGTTGAGTTATCACCTGATTGAAGCTATCTTTTTGTTAGAAGTTTCCTAAAGATTGACACCGGCTATTAATGTCTTAGAACAGTCATATTTTTTTTAATCTTAAACATCATAATAGTAATAGATTTTAAAGCTTCTGCAAGTATTTTACTTAGAGTCTAAAAATTATGACATGGCTATAATTATTTCATATAGCTAAACATTTATGGCAATTATTTACCAGATCAACCACTTCTTTGTCATCCCAATTATTTTCATGATTTGTAAGTACTCTTAAGAAATATGACAGTTTCTAATGAATGATTCAAGTGATATACCAGACTGTCCGATCTTGTAGCGTTAAGCATTTGTGATTTTACAGCATTTGGATATACCATTAAGCCAACTTACTAGTGATGATTTCTGAAATATTTTAAAACAAATTTATCATTTGCTTCATAGCAGACACTGGTGATACACCTAAGAATAATAAGATAAGAGCAAGACTAGAAAAACTCTCTATATAAACTTCCTTTCTCATTTATTGTATTTTATACTTATTACCTGTAATAACAGATTTTATTTTGTTATTCACATTAATTTTTTTATTTCTATTATTGCTGCCTTGTTTATTTTCGTACACTTGGTTGCATTTGTCTTTTCTAAGACTTTGTATTTACCTACTTAAAGAAAATATATAAATTAATAAAATTAATACCATTAGTGACAAATTTATCTTTATGGGTGATCTTTATCTTGATGATCTTGGTGATCTTTATCTTTATCTTGGTGATCTTTATCTTTATCTTGATCTTTTATTCCTTCAAGTGCATGGAATTACTATTTCACTAGGAAATTTTTTTAAAAATCTCTGGCTTTATTATCTAATTAAATTCATTACATAATTTAGCCACTTAATACAGTATTAGTTAATTAATATTTATTGATTACGTAAATTATCCAGCTAGCTACGCTCCCTTTAAGGGATTCTGTAATTTTGTCTTAGTAAATGGATTGTATGTGTAAAGAATGGATGCTAACTAATAGAAAATAGAATATTATAAATATAAAATAACTTTGTTATTGCTACATCAAAGGTCTCTTTGCCTCTTGGAATTTTTTCAAGTCTCTTTTACTATTCTGATGTATGGAAGATTTGCCTTCTTCAGGTTCTTTTTCTCTATCCGTTTTTTGAAAGTACTGCTGAATTATCTTGTAAATGACTTTTCTTGTAATTTCTATAATTTTCATGTCAGAAAGTAGGCCTACTCAATGCGCGTTTTTACTACTAATGTAACCGCAGTACTTTGGTTAGTTTATTTCTTTCATTCTGTGGGATTTAGTACAAACAAAAAGTTCTCTCCTGAAACAATGTATCTTAACCCATTTTTATTATCTCCTTTAATAAAAACTCCAAAATCTAGCATTTTCGGAAGTAGACATTGCAACATTAACAAACATTACAAAATAATATTTCAACTTCCTTTATGACAAAACTGCTTCTTGAAATAATTCATTGGTTTCAATAATGCAGCTTATTTGACTGGTGCACATGGAAAGTAGTTATAAGCTAATGAGGATTAATTTTCATTTTTTTTAGATTTGTTTATTTATTTTACTTGTTCCCTAGTTTAAAGGACTGCAGATTAGTAGAAAGCACACATGGGTTATTTTTCAAAATAGAAGAATGTCTCACCTTTTTATTTTCAAAGTTTAATTTTAAGCACCAATACAGTGACAAAACTAAACAAAACTGAATATATTAATTTTTTTCTTCATTAAAGTTGAATAACTAATAATAAGAAAAATAATTAATTTTATTATCTTTAAAATATGCACAATTCTTCATTTGTTCAAAACAAAAAATTAGTAAGCATTATTGATTAATACAACATACAAAATACTTTAATTAGTTTCTGCCACTTTCAAACACTTATAACCAATTTCTGATACTGACAATAGAAATCTAACCTTTTCTAAAATTGAAGAAAAGTTTATTCAGTTCTAGGTTGATATAGTTTGATGCATTACTTAGGAAGACATTTTTCCCCTTAAGCAGAATCCTCTTAAATGTTTTGCCAAAATTAAGAAACTGATCAACTAGTTAACACTTTTAATGACTAGAAGATTAATATTTTTTATATAATAGCAAATATGTTACCACACAAACTATACAAAAATGCATTACACATAATGAACATTAAATGTTTTTTAAAATATTAAGTTAATTTTTGATAGAACCATATATGCAAAGCACTAAACTATGTATGCTGGAATATTTGTAACTATTTTCAATAATTGATCTACAGATACATTTTCTTTCAACCGGAAAAATTATTTTTCTGCACATCTTAAGCTTTTTAATTAATTATTAAAAGCTGTAAGTACTTTTTTATAAAAACATTTTATGGAAAAGGTCTGGCAATGTCCTAAGTTGATAAGAGTATAAAAATATTTTTCTTTCTATAACAATCACTTATTTTATTTATTTCATTTTATTTTTTATTTATTTATTTTTTGTAATATGTGAGGTGTCAAAATGAGCACCATCTGTATTTATGAATAAATATTAATAGATGTCAGTTATTAACAGAAAGGTTTTAAAAAATAAATGTATATGAATATAAAAGATTAAGAAAAAATTTCATTCATGATCAAAATTTAAATTTTCACCTATACATCAAAACAATTAACAAATTCACACAAATGTCACAGAAAACTAGAACATACCTAAAATATCCTTAAATGATTCAAAGTTTTCATTTTGTCTAGATATTTCATCTTTAATATCCTTTACATTGTCTTTAACAATTAAAACATCAACATTAAGTTTCTGTATTACTGCAGTCAGAGATCTGAATAAATCCCTAATAAAACAGCCAAGAAAAATTATAATGTTTCTTACAAAAAACTACTAATAAATACTATTAGTCAAAAACTAATAACCACAATACACACAGTTTTTTTTGGGGGGGGGAAGACACTTGAAGTTTCATAATAGTATTATGCATATGAATTTTCATAATAATATTATGCATATGAAGTTTCATAATAGTATTATGCATATGAATAGTATTATGCACATGAAATTACATATGAATTCATTAGTAGAACTGGCTTCATCAGTAGAACTTCTAAGTTCATTTCTCATATTAAAGCATCCATAACTTCGCAAAAGGAATCAAATGCAAAATATATGTATATACGAGACATCAGATTAAATGAAATTATACATTAAGCAAATATGCCTTGAATAAAACCAAGAAAAAAATGTATATATAACTTATTATATTAATACAAACTATATAAAATATCCTAAATACTGTTGGCTTCTGCCTTATTAAAGTTAATATACATTAAAAATTGATGGGTACTATTCAGTTTTGGGAGTCGTAAAAAATCGGCAAACTATTGTCGATGCCAGTGCTGCCAAAAATAATTGCGGCAACACTAATGCAAGAAAGGAAGTAAGTAAATAACTACCTAAGATTGATGTTTTAATTTAGATGAAAGGTTAATTTCATATAATACATTTTTATTATTATAATTTATATAAAAAAGGCTAAACATGAGTGAATGGAAGCATAAGAGTAAATAACTATTCGAGATCATTATTATAATTTATATAAAAATTGCTAAACATAACTGAATTGATGCCTGCATCGCTACTTCTCTATCGAGTTATCACAAAAGCATAATTTCATCTCGTTGGTTGTTCAAACATAATTTTCTATAATGAATGATGCTTTTTCTTTGAAAAAATTCTTGGTAAAGTGCATAATCGCTCCTTATTTGTTTGCCACTTTTTACAAGGGTACAAACAATTGGATTTTTGTTAATTTTTTTTAATAATAAAAAGTTGTGAAAATAAGTCGATGTGTACATAGATAAAGTCAAGGATGTGCGCAATGCCATTTTTGTGCAATTCTGGGATTGTTTTTTTAAGTGAAAATAGGTCGAAGTGTACATGGATACCGAGTATGTGCAATTCTTAAAACCGTGTCAAGCAGTGAGTGATTCTGCACTTTACCCAAAATTCTATTGCAGACTTTTCGTCATTGGCAATTCTCAAATTGCCATTTCTAATCCATAGGATATCAAAAAAGGATTTAAAAAATTAAACTAGTATTTCAATGGCATCTTAAGAAATATAGAACTATATAAACCTACGCTATCTGAAATAAGCACGTACGCTAGATTTGGCGCGCTGTTAAATGGGCACCTTTGCTAGATTTGGCGCTTTTGCGCAAATCGCTGCAATTTTTTTACGGTCCTCAAAACGGAATAGTACCAATTCATGTTAAAAAAGCCATAAATTTAGTGTTTAAATATAATGTCCTAAAATTTACTTATTTAACTTTAGTTAAAAATAAGAGTTTAGCACTCTTATTTTTTCAAAAATTTGAGTTTGTCTGTAATATTGATAAAAGAACTGATAAATTCAAATAAATTTTGTTAAATTTTATCTATCAGCTTATATTACAATATCTTTTTTTTTCTACTCTACTTCTAAATAAATAACTTTATAATCCAAATTAGTAATGTTTGAGATATTTTTATATGCATAATCTATAATATTTATTTTTATTTCTGCAATGAGAGAAATTAACAATGTATAGTTTTCCAGTTTTGCCTTTATCAAATCTAAATATATTAAATATTTTACCACTTCTTTATACATTTGTACAACATAAGATTAATGTAAGATTTTAATTTTATAAATATATTCAGGAAAAGATAAGTCTCTAAATATGACATAATCATAATAATATGGTTATTTCATGGCACTTTTCTAAGTTCATATGCCAATTTTCTAAGCAATTACTCTTTTCAAATAAGATTTTTAAGAGGGTATAAATCAAATGTTATATTAAGTGACATTTTTAAGTATTAAAGAAATTTATCACATTTTCTGTGTTGTTATGTCAAAATTCTTCACTAAACTACAAAATAATCAACAAGATAAAATTTGGCATAGTATCACTACTGTTGCATAATGAAAGTAAGTATATTAGATTTGATGGATCCAAATATTTAACTATAGTGTCTTAGACATGTTCAGTTCATCAAGGAAGAAACAGTACCTGCTGCACTTGGAATTCGTAAGTAGTCAGGACTGCACATGGCTCAGCCGTGACCTTCCGAGAGGGAGAAGGTCATGACACTCATCGAACAAGTCAGAGTTGAGTCACGCTTTCCGTCTATCGTTTTTCCACCATTAGTTTTGTAACTACCACAAGGCGTGTGTATGTTCTTGTAAAGCTCTAAATTTGTCAATATAGTTTGTTGTTTAGTGCTGACTTTGTTAATATTGTAGCAATGCCTGACCATTGCTTTGTACTTAAGTGCAATTCTAATTATACTGGAACCAAAAATTACGTGTGTATAAATTTCCAATGGATGAAGCAAAAAAGCAGCTTTGATGCCGTAAGATTCCTCGCGCGAATTTGATACCGAAGTGTTTGTGAAAAGTGCATATAACGAAATGCGAAGTTATGAAATAGTGCGATATAACGAAGTGTTTGTGAAAAACATTTTCCCGAAGATATGATTGTGCGTGAAGATGTATTCCCGGATAAAAATGGGGCAATTTTAAGAATTCCAAGAAAACGTCCAATGTTAAAAGACGATGCATATACATGCATATTTAACGGCTGTGATGTGGAGTTAAATGTATCAATAAATGACCAACAAGCTTTAATATATATAGCTGGTTATTGTGTACATTCTTTGAAACTGCAGTATGTAATCTGCAAAGAAAAGATATTAAGTTTGGACATTTTATTGACTGAGGGGGAGATTATGATAATCTTCCATTATCTCAAACAACAGAAACCAAAGATAAGTACACATATTTAGATATGGTAAATAGAGGTGGTCTTAAGAAACCGTCCATACTAGTTTTTAATATTATAATCCATAGTTGTTTCATTTTTAGAAAACTTATTTCAAAGAAATACGAAACACATTTTCAAAAATGCCAAAATCAGCATTCAGTCATTATTTCACTTTTTAAAATATTTATGAGTAATAGTGAGCTACTTGATAATGAAATATGTCAGTCTTACAACTGTGATTTCTTTAATATTGTCATCAAAATGCTAAATACATTTGCAAACATTTGTTTAAGCAATTATACAAAAGTATTAGAAGATTGTAAGTTTTCTGCTTCAAATGAACAAAAACTAAAGAAATTTAAAAAGAATTAAGTGTTTTTATTTTCTTAATTTTCTTATAGTATTTGTAACTTAAAGCATTGCATAGCTTATGCCATATAAAATATAAGTCATATGTATTTGCTAAGTATAGTATAAATATGAATGTTTGGACGTGTAAATATGAATGTTTGAAATTAGAGTTTTTACTATTAAAAGTAGTCAAAAGTTGTTAATCCGGACTCACCGGGACTTTGGCGATTCCGGTTTATCGATTTTTCCGGATTATAGATCATCACTTTAAATCTGGTAAGATGGCATGCAGAAATTATAAAATTAAAAATATGAAACCGTAATTATGAAATAAAGAACAATTATGATCTAAAGGATATCAAAATTTACAAAAAAAAGCTTAATATTTATCTGTTTACTTTATTAAACATTTCTTTCAATGTAAGTTGTTTAAGTTGCTTCGTTTTTTATGTGATAATACATTCTCTTTAATTCTATAAACAAACATAATTTCTTGTTCAGTTACAAAGTTCCGCTGTTCAAGTCCTATGATTGCTGTGTCTGCCGACTAATTTGTCAATCAAAAATTTTTCGTTTTCAATAACCTCTGTCACTTTCTTCGCTATCGGAAGTGAATTATAATGACGAGGAATTTGATTTAAATCACATCAAAGATGAAGTACATCGAGATGAAATACAACATTTAGTAAGGAATTATAAGCCAAATAAAATAAAAACATCTGCCCTGAAGATAAGGATAGTGCTGACAGATCAACTTCCAATTCATTGCGCACTGCGGCGTTAAAGATAAACAAAGTTTAGATAAAAAAACATTAAAGTTTAGATAAACAAAGGCTATGCCTTTATCCATTTTATGCAGCAATTCCACTTTTTGTTTAATGAACATACTTTCGTTTTGTAGATCCTTTACATATTAATAAATATATATCAGAAATTCTATTTGACATAATCGAAAGTTCAAGCTTGCTTTTATAAAATTGCTCTAACAGTCTGCAAAAAATAATAAGCCGGATCCAATTCGAAGATTAAGGAACAACACAATCTGCAACATTAACTGAAATAGATAATTAGAGCTTAGCTTATACCGTCTGTTATACATTAAACACGCACTCATAAACATATTTTGCGCACGTGCACATGCATATTCGCAGCCGTAAATGTCTTACGCGCATGCGTCAGAAAGTTTGTAGCTTTGAGGTCCAGATTATAGATCATTCCGGATTATGAGTGTCCGAATTAACGACTTTTGACTGTATATTGTTTCGATTGCTTAATTTTTGTTTATATTTGTGATAGTAGGAAAATTCATGATAAATGGGATAAAAGAAAGTTTCACTGTATGCTATTTCGTGAAGAGAGTCTTTAATGCATGTGGTATGCTACTGTGTATATTTAAAGATTTTCTGTGCAGTTTATGCAAAAAAGTTTACCGATTTTAGAAAATGTACCTTTTGAATGAAATTATTATGATTATTTCAAAGAATAGAATATGTTAAGGTATGATAGAAAGAGCAAATGTTAAGAAAGCACTATAAATAACAATAAATATGAATGATTGATTATATGATTTGTGTTATTATATATAAGTATAACTTTAGCTTTGTTGTTTAATTTGATATATGTGATAATAAGGAAGCAATAAATTAAAAAAAAAGATTTTGACATGCTGTTTAATGAAGAGCAGATTTTAATGCACATAGTAAGTAAGTTATTGCGTATATTATTGAAAGCTCTTCTATGTAATATGCAAAGAAAGGTTAATGATTTTAAAAAGCATATAAATGATAGTCATAATTCCTATTATCCTAAAATTTAGAAGCTAAAATATGTATATGCACCTGCATATGATTGAAAGAAATGGCGTTAAGAAACATCAGCATTACTACTAAATACTGTAATCCATAATTATTGCATTTTTAATCATATAATATTTAAAAAACATTAAATTTTACATTAAGCGCAAATTGCAGTTCTGTTATTTTTCTCTTGGAATTTGTAATATAGCTTTTGGTATGAATACGAATGTTTCAAGTTATGTTTCTTAATTATTACATTTGAATACATTCCATCTTCATTATTAATTTTTGTACATGCTTGTGATAGCAATAAAATTCATGATAAATGGGAAAAAACTTTTTGTTGTGTACTATTTAATGAAAAGCAAATTTAAATATGCAGTTCTTACTATTGTGTATATTATTCAAATCATTTCTGCGCAGTATCCAAAGGAATGTTATTGATTTGAAAAAATGAATAAAATGGCCGTGAGAATCTGTCATTGTCTAAGACAAGTATACACATATATATTTACATATGATCAAAAAAAATGATGTTAAAAATAATCAGCATTGCTACTAATTATTGTACTTTTAACAGCTTGCTATTTAAAAAACACTAAATGATTTTTTATTAATTGGAAATAGCAGTTCTGTTACTTTTTTCTAGTAACTTTCAAACACTGCATAGTTTATGTGTTTTTTTAAATACTGCCAGTTGTGTATGTTGTTTGTTAGGTTATCTCATTTCAAATATGGATGTTGGAAGGCTTTTTTGTTATAAGATTTAGGTATGTTTCTTGTATGAAATATTTTTATCACATTTATTAGCTAATTTATATAGTATTTCATTCTTATACGTTGGAGGTATAGAAGTTAATGGTTATATATTTTGCTCTGAAATGCGAATAAATTAATACTTGAGTCTAGGTAAAATATTAATTATTATCTTAAGAACCCCTTCCCAATTTATCATGACAGTGGCAATTTTCAATCAGCATTTAAATTTTTGTAAAATGTTCGTTTATTCTTCAGTTCTTTCAATTATATTTATGCACAAAGTTAATTAAAATATCTGCAAAAAGCCTAAAAAGTGAAAATAATGTATATAAAGCCTCCTTTCTTTCAGCTATTTTAATTAACTAAGCAACATGATAAAGTTACGTTTCCAACGAAAATTTAAAAATAAAGATTACTTTCAGACGATAACATTGGACAGAAAGCTCCATGTTTGTAAAGTGTCATGGCCCTCTCCCTCTCAAAGGTCATGGCTCAGCACAGTCTCCTTGGTATACAATATTAGGAAAATTGTGAATGGAGGATTTATAACATAAAACTCTAGTGTATTCCTGGTATACTGCTGCTCACTGACTGTTTCCTTGATATGAAGGATACAAGATTGTGAATCAAAAGCAAAAGCATTCCCCACCATTAATCTTGGCACTGGGTTAACACAGGACGCTAACACATTCTTAGAGGTATAAACCCTCATGATGTCTTTGAATATGTCTACCATCATGATGCATCAAGCTGAATAGTCAGAAAAGACAATTTATTTCAATCAGATCTTAATAAAAATATTCAAGACTTCTGGGCAAACTGAGGATTAATGGCTGAAAGAAATTTGCAGAAATGGGTTATAAATCAGCAGCTTTCAGCCTATTTGAGCTCAACCTGACATATTACAATGTTTCACTACACTGCATACATTATAGATGTCCCACTGTTATAGTTACTCTATAACAGTGCCTATCAGAGTGTTTTTGAAGTTTACTTTCCAATATCAATTATCCTCATATGCCAAATTTGCATCTGTGTAATGACATTTTGTTCTGTATGGGTTGTATTATCATGACTCACACTCCAGCTTCTTTAATACCAATATCAATCATGTGTTATCCTGCTACAGAAAAGAATATTAATACCAATGAAACACCCTGAAGTCTTAAAACTGCATCTTCGTGGATTTGAATATCTCATTCAGTTCCTGTATTCATACTCAGCAGTTGAATGACAAGAATGCACCACTAAAAAAACCACAGGATCATTCACATTGAAATTCTGATCATCTGCCTGTGTCTACCTAATGCACACAAATTCAGGATTTCCAAACAAATTCAATTTTTAATTTTCCTGACTTTCCTGGACAAAGTGGAACGATTTCTCTGACCAAACATAATAAACAAATTATCAAATTAACTATGAATTATTAAATAATTTCATACCTTTACTACAAAAGCAATGCAAGAACAGTATAAATTAAGAACAAGAACAGTATAAAAATTTAGTTACTTGCATATTAATGCAACTACCTTGGCAATTTTGCGTTGTATAAAAATTGTATAAAAATTGATTGACTCAAGGACTGTTATGAACATGGTTGGCAGAAGAATGGTTATGCATATGGTTGTCAGAGTTTGGAAAATTCTGAAAATTTGGCAGCTTCTACTAAAGCAATTGCATGAATATATAAGTGCCAAAAATTTAATTTATCCTATTTATTACCATGAAGTAAATGAAAGAATATAGTAAATATGCAGCTAAAGCATTCAAAAAGTAGATAGGGCTTTAAAAAATAAATAAATAATAATAATAATAAAAAAAAACTCTTGACAAATCTGCAAAAGAATTTTATAATAGTATATCATATATAAAAAATATTACTCTCTGGTGTTTCAAGATAAAATATTCTAAAGAAGGGTATTGGAAAAGGTTCCAACTTTTCTTGACCTTTGTGAAAAAAGGGTTACATTTTCCTTAACCACTTTTCATTTCTCTGATTTTCCACAATTTTTCAGTTGAGTGGGAATCCTGATTTTGCATATTTTAAGATAATATCACCAGTGCTTCTTCAAGGTACTGAAATTTTCACAACATAATTATAGTTTCAAGATCTGCTAAATGGAGCAAATATTGAACCTTGCTAAATGATAAATGGAGCAAATATTGAACCTTGCTAAGATAAAGACTAAAATTTTGGATATTTAATAGCATTCTAACATTTGAATCATTTTGATATGGCTTACATATTTTAATTATCCAAGAAATCATTTCTACAGATTCTGTATTTTAAGCAAAGTAATTTCGTTATTAAATAACTAAACACACATTTAATCCTCTAAGCCTTACCAGACTCTAGGTACCTTCGCTATAATTGCATTCAAGTACAAAAACAAAATCGGTTAGAATAATAAACGCTTATCTGCACAGTAAGTATTAATTAACTAATACTTCTCTGTTGTGAAGAATATTTTCAGTCACTAATATTCTTATACAATATTAAGCACAAACTATAAATTTAATTGTCTATTGAAAGAATGTTTTTAAACATTTATTTACAATATTAAATTTCGCACACCAGATGAAAAGAATAACTGGAGAAAAGAAAATAGGAACACATAAATATTAGTTAACAATAAATGATGTAAATATAGTTTCTAATAATGTTATGCAGCAGACTGTTCATTATCATACTACCATAAAATCAGAAAATGTGAAATTCAAATATTCAGTTGTCATAGTTAAAAAAAATCAGCAAAACTAAATTTCATGATTTTACAATAGAAAAAACATGAATAGAAATTTGTAATATACTTAAGTATTTTGTATACATTTTGTACATGGAACTAATATAAACTGAGTTTTCAACTACCTGATTTCTTTCATTTCACTTTGATTAATAAATTCTGTGTCAGATAAACATGCTCTAAAGTTTGAATTCTTTTTCAAATCTTTATCTGCAGTCTGTTTGTTTACAGAAGTGGTCTCAGGAGATTTGTTAATTTTCCCCAAGATAAGATTTTGTGAAATATATTTCTGGTAATCCAATTTATGACTCTATATCAAGAAATAGTTTTATTACTTTTCACATTTTAAAATTTGTAATGAATTAAATATTTTATTTCTGTGTATTTTTCGATTCACCAATTAAATTACCAGTTATATGAGAAGAGTGAAAACCAACTGATTGTTTTCAAACACAAATAAATCCAGTACCTACTGCATGGCACTATTATATGGAAGTTCACCACGGTCAGTATAGTGGGGAGTTTAGCAGAGATAGAGAATTAGTCTTTGCAATATCACACTGTCACAACAGAATTATTAAAGTCAATAAGATAGTTACTGATATGAGATTTCACAGAATTTCAAAAAAACTACTTCAATATCCTCTGCACAGTACCACACTAAAAATATGATACAGAAATCTCATGATGCGGAATTTGACATAATTCAGTCACATATTTGCATTTTAAATGTGGCAGGCAAAGCAGTCCTTATGAATGCTCACTTGTACACAATGAGGCTTGAAATGTTTTTTCAAGTTGCCATACATCATTTTCACCACAAATACTATCTTCAGTAGAATGAAACAACCATCCATATACAGTCAAAAGTCGTTAATTCAGACACCCATAATCCGGACCTCAAAGCTAAAAACTTTCTGCGCATGGCCGCGTTGACACATGCACATAGGCGTTTACGCGTGCGCGTAAGACCTTTACAACTGCGCATAAGCATGTGCGCAAGCCCAGAATACGTTTTTGCGTGCACGTTTAATGTATAACGGACGGTATAAGCTAAAATTATCTAATTATCTATTTCAGTTAATGTTCATGATGGCGTTGTTCCTTAATCTTCGAATTGGATCTGGCTTATTATTTTTTGCAGAATGTAAGAGCAATTTTATAAAAGTAAACTTGAACTTTCGATTATGTCAAATAGAATTTCCGATTCTGGAGCTCCCAAAGGATCGTACAAAACGAAAGTATGTTTTGATGTCCATCAAACAAAAAGTGAAATTGCTGCAAAAAATGGATAAAGACATGAAGAATGTGACAGAGAGGTTAGTGAAAATGAAAAAATTTCGATTGACAAGTTAGTCAGTATTCTCGGCACAGCAATTACGGGACTTGAACAGCGAAACTTTGTAACTGAACAAGAAATTATGTCTGTTTATAGAATTAAAGAGAAAGTATTATCACATAAAATGAAGCAACTTAAACAACTTACATTGAAAGAAATGTTTAATAAAGTAAAAAAATAAATATTAAGCTTTTGCTTTTGTAAATTTTGATACCCTTTAGATCATAATTGTTCTTTATTTCATAAATTACGGTTTCATATTTTTAATTTTAGAATTTCTGCATGCCATTTTACGAGATTCAAACTGATGATCTATAATCCGGAAAAAGTCCCGACGAGTCCGGATTAACGACTTTTGACTGTAGTTAAGATTTTCATGGCCACTTTTTTAAAGGCTGTTTGCTGTTGTTTTACTGATATAATGTTATTGGAATTATACCAATCTGATCACCTAACTTACCCTACTATTTCTTGTGGGTGTTTTCCCTCCAAGAATAAAAGGTGCAAAACATGTCCTATCATTACTGAGCTAAAAAAATCAAATTTGGGAGTATATGCAGTTAATTACTCAGGCAATATTTCAATGAGTAATAGCATTCTTGACATACTGACCACAGAAATGTATTCAACAGCAATCAACTTGTGTGATATTCAAAACATGATGGCAGCAACTACATATTTTTCCTTTTCATTGGCATTCTTTTCCTTTTCTTTTTAAATCAATCAGTTGCTCTTCACTCACTTTATACAAGGAACGAAATACAAAGACAAAAAACATATTTTTTAAAACCAAAATTACATAAAATGACAAAATATTAAAATTCATAAAAAATAACAGTATTAAAAGAATACCTATTCATATTCTTGATAAATTTTAATGTTGTTAGGCTGATAGCTTTGTCATAACCTAATCAACTAAAGCATTTACATTAATATAATGAATGCATTAACCACAATGTTTAATTACTAAAAATTAAAAAAAAAAAATAATCACCTAGGTATCTCACATTATCATTGAAAGATGTCGAATTATGTTTTTAAGCACATGTCAATATTATATGATTTTAGCTTCATGCTTTACTGTATGATTTTCAAATTAATATTTCTACTGTAGCAATATATAATCAAACAACTACTTTGTCTATTTAGCACTGTACTATATTAATTCACTTAGTGTACTAAATCAAAGAATCATAAAAAAACATTCAAAAACTATTTTCTCAGGCATGTTTACATCTCTTCAAATAAAGCACTAGATGTAGGAAGGAATGGCACATTAACAACATTTTGGAAGCATTTCAATGTAAGACACCACACAGAAATGATCAAACTTCCATGGAAACAAGTGAATTCATCAACAATGAATGTTTGCTGGCATCAGCACTGGCCAAATTTTGACACCAATTTTAAAAGATTTCCATTGATTGAAGGTAAGGAAATCATACAGATTGTAAAAGCAAAAGGTGATGACAAAGCCTTTAACATACAAGAAGTTAAACAAACTGCTAAAACACTGCAACTATCTGAATTTGTAATGAAAATTAACCCAAATAAAGAAAGAAGTGGATGCTTTATGAGGGGTATTGAAAAACTTTAAACTCTTTACCATGAAATGTTTGAGTTGCATCAAAACTGTCAAGCAAAAATCAACAATTATTTAAAAAGAATAATTGTATTATGTACACTGTGGGAAAAAAAGGGGGGGCAGTTCTATATTTCCCGTTCTACTGGGCCGATTGAAGAAATTTAATTTGCGTTTTTCATGTCTCGAAAGGGCTACCTAGGATATGTATTTATGTATTAGATTTATATATAGCATTGTTCTAATATAGATATTTTGACACAAAATCAGACTTTTTTTTGTTTTTTTTTTTTTTTTTTTTTTTTTTTTTTTTTTTTTTTTTTTTTTTTTTTTTTTTTTTTTTTTTTTTTTTTTTTTTTTTTTTTTTTTTTTTTTTTTTTTTTTTTGTAATTTTTTTTTTTTATTTTTTTTTTTTTTTTTTTTTTTTTTTTTTTTTTTTACATTTTTTTATTTTTATTTTTTTTTTAAAATTTTTTTTTTTTTTTTTTTTAATTCAATTTAAAACAAACAATACCAGTTTTTTTTTTATTAAAAGCAACACAATTAAAACATTGTTTTTTTAAAATTTTCAATAAAAAGGTATCATTTAATTGAAAAAAAAATTTTGATTAATATGAATTACCAACACATTTTGAAAGATTTGGCAAATTTGGCATATTTGTTGAAAGCGATAAAACATTAAACGTGGTTCAGACACTTTGCTAAAATTATTTGAAAATTAGAACAAAGTGACTTTTCTTCCGTTCATGCATACAATGTAAAAAGGTAGGAATGAGGTGCCTTTTTTTTTCACTCCTGCATAATGGAAGGGAAAGGAAAATTGGTTGATATATATTAAGAAGTTCGCCAAGTGAATTATTCTCGGTGCAAACTGAAAAAAATTGTGCCACGATAAATTTTTGAATTTCTCCATAAATTTTGCACCAAGTTTTACAAAATTTAATATCTAGGCATAATTTGATTTGTAGAATCGAAATATGGGAAACAATTGGTATGTTATTTCAAAAAAGGTCTGATTTTGTGTCAAAATACCTATGTTAGAACAATACAAATATATATCCTAAATCGTGCTTTTGAGACATGAAAAACACATTTTGAATTTTGTCAATCGGCCCAGTAGAATGGGAGATATAGAACTGGCCCCCCCTTTTTTTTGGCACAGTGTACCTACTCAATGGTGGATTGGCCAAAGAAATCGGCCCTGGCAAGAAAAAATATGTTGGCCCTAAGGCCCTAATGTCATTATACATATAAGTCATCATAAAAAATAATTTTATAAAATAAATATATATACAGATAAACTACAAACAATAAATAACATGAAGTGACTAAGTAATTATATAAACAAAACAGCGATCATTTCATAATTAGAAATTTTAATATTTTTTAATTCCAGGTTGCCTGAGCAATATGAGCTGCAAAAGTGCAAATGAACGAGATGGGATATAATGATCAGATAAGATAAGAAAGCCCTGGATAGAAAATAAGCTAGTGGCACCATCTGTTGGCGAAACCAGAACTAAAGCATAATTTCTTTAAAGGCCGAAAATTGAAAGTGTGATTTTCGGACCAACAATGTTTGGCAACAGACTTCTGCGTTTCCTTTTTTCTAACATATGCCTCATGTTCCTTGATGCAAAATTTTAAGGCTCTCTTAGTTTGGCCAATGTAAATTAAACCACACTGGCAAGGAATCCTATAAATACCCCAGAAATTCATATCCGGAATGAGGTCCAAATATGTGCTACTAAAATTGCAAATATTTTGCAGAAATTTAACTTTCGGGTTGTTTATTCTCCCATCAATAAAATTCCGAGTTCCATACTGAAGGACCCCATTCCAGATATGAATTCCTGGGGTATTTATACGATTCCTTGCCAGTGTGGTTTAATTTACATTGGTCAAACTAAGAGAGCCTTAAAATTTCACATCAAGGAACATGAGGCATATGTTAGAAAAAAGGAAACACAGAAGTTTTCTGTTGGCCAACATTTGTAGGTCCGAAAATCACACTTTCAATTTTTCTGCTGCCAAAATTATTCAAAAAACATCTCTTCCATTGGAGAACTGTATTTTCTAGAGGCATTTCACATTCAAAAAAATCTTTCTGTTCTAGTGAACGATCCTAATTCCAATCCATCTTTGCCTTCAAAATTATGCTTTAGTTCTGGTTTCACCAACGATGGCACCACTAGCTTATTTTCTGTCCAGGCTTTCTTATCTTATCTGATCATTATATCCCACCTTGTTAATTTGCGCTTTTGCAGCTGAATATGGTGGTTCAGTAAAACCATTGAAACTAGTCCTGTGAAAATTTGAAAATATAACGCTGATTTTTGTTGTTTGACTTCTGAATTAGCATTTGTTTGGCATGTTATTGGGTCTTAATCATCCAATACTAGTTCTCTCTTTTATCATATTAAAAAAAAGTTTGGAAAAGTTTATTTTTCTTTGCAGGTCTTGCCCCTTGAATAACCGAACCTTAAATATCAATTAAGATTTTTCAGCAATGTATGAATTGGTAAATTTATAGAATTATTTATTAAAATATTTATCATGAAATTAGTAAAATATAATGAAAGGCAAAGAAACTCATTTTAAGGCCAAAATTAAAATTCACAAAAACTCAGAAATATTATCCATATGAATGCATTTTCTCACAAAATAAAAACTATTACATTGTTGTAACTGAGTAGAAAACCTTCTTATAAGGGTCTATACATGGAAGTAGGGAACAGAGGGAAGGCCCAAATTGGTTCTTTCCATACACTGCCTTAATGCACCCCTGTTAGTGACCAAAACAATTAGTGATCTGCCATTAAGATTAAGAAGTTTTGACGTGATTGAAGATAAATATTTTGTAATTACATCAGATGTATATATTTTCAATCCATGTATATAATATTTTCTTTTTCTAGAATATTTCAGAGTCCTAAGTTTATGAACGAATACATTTTGAAACAACATTTCCTTCTGAACGAAATTGAATGCTATACTTTTCCCAGCGCAGTTTGCTCAGAATAATTTTAATTTGAATGAAATGTTTTCACAAGTTTTTATTAATTACATTAGAAAGAAATTTTAGGGTAATTCGATTTTATTTGGTTAATGATTACAAAAACTAAAAGTTTATTATATTAATTTCTACTCATTATAGTGGAGCAGCTTCAGACTTCGAAATGTTTGAATGTGACATGCTATCCTACAGTCCTTCTGAGTAAGTATAAGTTTAGGGTACAATAAAATAACAGGATTTTTATATTGAGAAAAGTCTTTTTTTTTTTTTAAACCTGTATCTGTGTGTTAATAAAATATAAACTGAAAGATTTATGTTTAATGATCCAGCAAAACTACCAAATATCAATATCTGCAAAGTTTGTCATCTATGACATGACACCAAGGTTCCAAGATGGACTTTTATTTTAACTCTATTCCAAAAATCTGATATTTTAAAAGTTTTTCTGGCATAAAAAATACATTTGGTTCTTTTCTGAATTTTTTACAGACTACAGTTATTTATATTTAAACCATATGCAATTTTTAAAAACTTTTTTTCAAGTTATACCCTATGCCTCCTGCAAGTAAGAAATTCATCAATCACCGAAAATCTGTATTTGTATAACTAATACTATAAAAAAACTTTTTAATGCTTTAATTAAAGCACCTTCATAATATAAACAAGAACAAAATAAAAATTCCTGAACCCTTTTTGAAAAAAAAAAAAAAAAAAAAAAAAAAAGATAAAACTACTGTTCTTATACATATGCTATGAAAACTTCACTATCTTTCAATAGGTACGATTCAAATTACATTTGTTTCAGTAGATATCATGGTGATTACTCTGACCTGGAGCTTTTAACCTGATTAAAAATTAAAAAAGTGTATTAAAATCTGTTTGGGTTTTTAATGAAAATTTTAATCTGGCATCTTTTGATTATATTAATATGCAATTTACTTTCTCTCTCCTTTTTAACTGGATAAAAGAATGTTGCTAATGCAAAGAATTAATTAAATTTGTATTTAAATTCAATTTTATCTTATGAAACAATTATATATATATTATATATATATTATATATAATACTAGCATATACCATTAAAGCAATTTTCTTAGCCTCATTACTATGGTGATTAAAATTTAAAAATACAATAACAAAAAGCTAAAAAGTGATATATACTAACTGCAGGCTGAGAATCATACATATTGCTGTTCTCTGTGTGACTAAACAGATCTTCAGAGCCTGAATATTGATAAAGATCTTTTGAGTTTCCACTCTGATTGCGACTAAAACTGGAGCTGAAGCCAGACTCCCTACTTATTTTCTGCGTTGCATCTTGTACTAGGAAATGATCGCTATTTAATAAATAAAGCAATTTATATTTCAGGAAAATTCATAAAAATACCAAAATTTTTACAACGAACACAACATAAAGAATTTTTTTATGTTTCCAAAATACTATAAGCAGCATTTTTTCCATTATAAAAAAATTGACAGAAGTACATAATATTAAGCTGATCATGTTTATTCAGTGAACTTACTTAAGAAATCTGCATTTTTGTGTCCAAATTTTTCTATCAAAACTATTTTTTTCCCCCTGCTGGCTAAATGCAAATGTAGTACCATATTTACATTGCATCAAGAACAATTGAGCAATGTATATTGCACAGCTATTCAATACAGAGTTATTCATGCTGCAGTATTAATGGGCTGCCACAACTTGTACACATTTAAAAACTGGTATCCCGTAACAAAAAAATATTGATATTAAAGTACATACAAAGAACATTTCAAGTTACACTGCTTTAGCTAAAGGCACTAAAAAGTAAAAAAATAGTTCTTTTATATATGATTAATTTTTAGTCCTAGATAAATAAAAATAAAATTGAAAGGCTACTAACAATGGTAGATTTTAAGCCAAAATTGTCAAAGATAACTTTAAGTGAGCTGAAAGTAATTATTCTTATATATTTCACTTCTAGACTATCAAATCAAACGTTCCTTGAAATTCTCTTAACATCCAATAATGTTACATACACCCATGAATACTGAGAAAGCTAAATATTATTTTTTACTTTTAGTAAATTTAGCAAAAACATACAATGAAAAAAATTTTATACATATTTTATATTTCCTCATTATTACAGCCCCATTTTCCAAACAGCAAGCTGATGCCAGGATTATTGCCAAGTTCATATTTACTTCTCATATAAACTTATTTCTGCCACTGCTTTTACTATGGCATCAGACATATTTCTTGTCTTTCTAGGACTTCACATATGAAGTTGCATGATGAGACACATGATGACGGTGAATTATGCCTCATCACTTTTATTCTGCCACTTAGTGGAGTGCATCTTGTAACCAAATATCTTTTGGCATTTTATGTATAAGGAGATCTTGGACGTGTCAATGATTTTTGGGCTTAAATGCAGTTTCCTCTCTATTAAGAATCTGGGTAGGAAAGAATTCATCAATTTCTCAGCATAATCCATCAAATATCCAGTATCGTGGAAGAATATTGCTGGCTTTTTTCCCTATCTGAACATACTCTTCCTTATGTCTATAATTTTTTCAGTTTTGCATATTTTCTTACTTGGTTATCAGATTTACAAAGAATGTACTTCTCTCATACAACTGTTCCAGTTAACAGTTGTATTTTTATAAGGCTAAGTTCCTTTGCCCATCACTTAATTAATGTCATTTTCTCTGCCTAACAGTAAATAAATCACTACAATGCCACAAATAGCATTCTGAAACCACTGTTGCAAAAACATATGTTTTTCCTTTCCTTGAATCACAATTTTTCACATCAGACCTCCAACGCTGTCATTGATATATAGTTTTATAAAATGGCCAGTTTTGTATATTTTAATGTGAAGTAAAATGCTTCTTTTCAGAGAGCTATAGCATCTTTCTCACTTCTTGGTAAATTAAGTATTTTATTTATTTATTTTTTTTAAATATATGTTAATATGTGGAATATCCAGAGCTCTTTGCATGATGAAAGAATAATGAGTGATTACAAATTGTTAACATTTGCATGAAAAAAGAGAAAATATGATAAAACATAGTTTACTCGGAGCTCTTCTCCTTCTGAGCATATTGTAGATAATCATGATTAAGACTGCCCTATATTTGATGATGGCTTCCATTGGTTATTTATCAATAATCTGAGCACAGCCATAAAACTAGGGGAGGGAATAATAAAGTACCTAATTTGTTTGTACCTAACACACCCCCCCACACGCACGCTTGCACCCCCCCAAAAAAAACAAGCAGATTAAAGCTGAATCACTATGAAATATTTTAGTTTCATCATAAATAAATATGTCCATAAAATTTCAAGAAAATCTGCTTGATATAAAGGGTCTGAATTAATTCCAAGATTTGACCCAAACAAATAATTTAGAAATAAAGTAAATAGAACTGCATAAAACTTAGATGCTTTTCTATAATATAATTGACAATTACCTATAAATTTTTTGCAATAATGTATGGTATCACTCTTAACATGTAGACACACAGAACAGAGAATTTTTACTACAGAAATATATATGATATTATTTGAGAAAATACAGGAGAAAAATTAAGTATATAAAACAGAAAACAAATTTGGAATGAATTAAAACTTTACAAAGCATAAACATTAGTAACTTTGAAAATGATTAAATACTACTGCCACAAATGGAATTATCAATAAATATTACTATACAGTGCACCAACATTTAGCCTATGATTATAACTAAAAAATTACCATCTTTTATTATCAATTTCTTCGATAAAAACAGAAAATAAATTGAAGCTGTTATATTTAATTTTCAATATCTTTAAAAAAATTAAACAATATATTTTTATGCTATAAAATTAAAAGCTACTTCCTTTTCAAAACCCTCATTGTGCTTAGTCACTATAATTAGTGAACATAATTGCCCAATTTGTAACATGCAAATTTTAAAAATGTCCCCAAAGTTTAAGCGATGGCCACTTTAACAAGTAATTATTAATATTCATTAATAAACTTCATTAGTGAATTATGAAAATACCTTGAACATGAAAACAGTCAATGCCATCTTAACACTATGTGCTTCCCAGAAAACCAGTGTGCTTAACTCAACCACTAACAAAAATGACATAGATAGATTAGCTATGTTTGTGAGCCCCTGAGTAAATGCCAAGCAGGCTCATGCATTAAAATAATTCTGCTAACGACACAACTTTTTATCAGGTTCAATTGCAATATTAATTAGGTTTCTCTATAAAAAAGAGGTTCTCAATACAAAATTACATAGTATAATTTCATATTTCTTGTAATGAATAATTTTAATTTTTACATACATTTAGGTTCCCCAACATTTAGATATCACAATAATTTTTATATAGATTATTTCTTTTTTTATATACTTTATTAATATAATTTGCTGTATCATCTCTTTTATGAAACCATATTATTTGACTATGTTAAAATATATAATGAAGTGTAAAAAGTGACATTCTTGAGTTAAGCTCAATACTTACATTGGGTTGCTATAGAACAAATCTCGAGAATTCACTTGGTTAGAAAACATTACCTGAAATGAAATAATTCATTAAGCTCCAGTTGGATTGCCTGCACATTTTTATGAATGATTTATTAAATGTTTATGAACAGAAATATAAACCTATCTTTTACCTTACATATATATACAAAATAAAATTACACAAACTTTGCAAAACTTAAACACCAAAGCAATTTCATACAGCTTTAATGATGTTTGGTGCTTAAGTATTAATTGAAATCGATGTGCACATTGGTAATAATTTGTTAATAATTTTCTGCCCCACTACTGTAACTATGCATAATCCTTATTTCTCCAGTTACATATTATGTTCTGCTGAATTGTACTGCTCCATATTTATTAGTTTTTAAAAAATAACTTCTTTTTAATGCAACATTAAAAAAAAATGAAATATGCATCTTTAGAATCTGTTAGGCAGTAAAATAAAATATATATTCCTTCCACATTAAGGTACTTGATTCCAAAATTACCTTAGGCCTCCAGGTCTTCCTATAATATTTAAAGGATGAACAATTTTATATATATTTTCAAAAATTTGTGTTTTTATTTCTTCCTTCAAAAACTATATTCAGGATTATTGTCTCAAATCCTTACTGGCAAGTGATGCAGCTAAGTTACTCTGGCCTTCTGAAACACAGATGGCAAAGTGCTCTTTCATGATGGAAAAAATCATGGAAGGAAGTTTAATTTCTTTTTGGATTCTTTATTTTATTTATATTCAGTAGACTCCCAATTAATCAGGGTAATACCATAGATGATCATAATTAACCATTTACCTGTATTTTTAGCAGTTTAAGCTTGAAAATAGATCTATTTGGTTATGTAAATTAAATCAATATTCAAAACAAGGGTGCAGACTTAAAAAAAGAAAAAATAACATTTTTGTTTATATTACTCTTGTATATCTGTAGAAGTCAATATGAAATAGAAATTAATGGCTGTATATACAAGTTATTTTTATGATTTAGCGCTTTATTTTCAACAAATAATTTAAAAATTCTTATATATTCTCATTTATGTCAACTAAATTACATACTATTATGGATAAAAACAATTTCCGAATACTCTGACCCCACCTGCTTTCACTGCTATTAACTCATATGTTTTTTTATATTTTTCATTTTCTATGAAAATTTTAATTTATTCCAAAGGTTTATAATAAATTTTTCACCATTCTGCAATAGACAAATTTAACATTTGATTTTATACAAGGTTTGCTGAATCTACCCAGTTCAAAAGTTGACTGTATTTTTAATCAGTCTGCAAATCAATTAGAGATGAGAGAATAACTTGCTAACCATTCATCTCACAAACTCCCATGCTATGAAATAGCATGTTTTACCCCCCCACCTCACATACACACACTCCAGTGATAAAAATGACACTAATCCATGACAGTAGCTACACATAACCTTGAATTTATTACATATTTATTTTTATTGGGAACAATTAACATTAAATTAAGGATTTACCATATTTGACGGCATATAAGACGCACTTTTTTTCCTAAATTTGGTCTCAAAGTTACCTGCGTCTTATACGTGAAGAACACAGGTTAACTTTCAATACTGAATGCTATTTTTGGCCCGGATAAAGATCTAGACACACATAACTTTTTATACATCTACATGTGTGTGGCCTTCTAAATAAGGGTGCATCTTATATGCCAGTGTGTCTTATATGCCGTCAAATACGGTAATTGCCATGGATTGTCCCCGAGTCAAAAGTTTAGTAAGCATGCTAATTGCATTACTATGCACTGAATCAATAAGTTGGTACTTTTCTGTTATCGGGACAGGATTCAGAAATGTATGCGCGTATGTATATACACATGTATGTACGTGTCTATATAAAAACACATACACATATATGCATACATTATTTCTGAATTTGATTCCGATACCAGTCTTTCATTATAATTTGACAATCTAAGTACCAGTCTTTCATTATAATTTATTATAACCAACAATTTTTTATGCTTTTTATTAATTAAATTAACTAATCTGCTACTGAATTATATTATTATATACTGGCAAAATGGTTACTTTCTGATTATCCTTGTTCCGATGAAGAGTTGATACCCATTGGTAATTTGTTAATTGATATAAATGATTATTTGGCTATCCTCAGTGCTTAAATATAAGCATAAGAAACTAAAAATTTTAAGAGAAAAAAAACTTACAGTCAATATTTATTTTTATAGCCAGTGGATATTGATCAGCAAAATGCGTGTGTGTGATTATGGCAAAGCCTCGAGGGCTATCTGCCTAAGAGGAGGGATGCCTTCGTGGAAGACTTTCTAAGGGAAACTGGCTCATATACACGTTACACATGGGGAAAACCACGAAAACGCCCATGCAGCCAGCCCGTTCGCGGGATTCGAACTTCGGACCAAACTACCAGTGTTCAGCAACTTTACCGCTCGGCCACTGGTGGGCTGATCAGCAAAATTAAATGCAAAGCATTCAAATACACACACATTCAAGCACACATATGGTACTTCATATACATGTTGTCATGCATATGCTTGAACATAACTGAAAACACAGCAATTCTATTGAATGTGTGCAGTAAAAGGAATGCAGAAAATCAGAAAGTATGAAAAAATATTAATGATTCTCTTAACATTTGATAATGTTATTGGCCATCTAGATGACATTATAAAACTTTTATCTGAAAGAGATAATGAAAATTTTATATAAATGGTCATACTGTAGAGAATATTAGGCATTTTATTTTAGAGAGGTGAAAAATGTGCAATTCTTGTCGAACTCCATCTCCAGACCTGGTTGCTAGCCAGATGTGATTCCTGGTTACACAAAAAAACACAGGGTAAGCAGAGAGAAAAATCTTATATTGTGAGTAAATCAGAAAACAGCTATAAAGAATATTATATTTTTGCAACTGAAATAGATAATTCAAAAGCCTTTCTGGTACTTTCTGATTATCTGCACCCATATGAAAAGTTGAGAAAAAGTACTTATGAGGCAAAAGCAGTTTGCCTTTAAAATAGTTATGTTATAACAAACAATTTTACCAAAAAATATTTATGTAGCAACACAGCTGTGCATGCAGCACAGGTTTGTATTGGCCAGTGTGCAGTGCTGAGTTTGTCAAAATCTGATGTTTTTTGAAGCAAAAATAAAATTGTTGTATATATGAAGAGAATAATGGTAAAAAATAATAATAAATAGAAAATAAGGGTAACTGCATTATTACCAGTGCTTCTTACTTTTTAAATTTCACCGACTGATTGCTCTTGTAGAGAATTCTTAGTATGCCACTGTTTTAAAAATGGCTGTTACTTTTGAAGCATTAACTTCCTGAAAAATTAAATTAATGTAAAATGTAAATTTGTAAATGATCTAAAAAGTCATCAATGAGTTTACAACTTTTTGGTGGGAATGTGGATAATCACAAAGTACCATCTTTTCTTATAAATAAATAAATAAAAAAGTTTCACTCAAAGTGAAAAAATGCAAATTTGTATGCTATTGTTTTTATGTTATTAATGAATTTAGGTTATAAATGCATTAGAAACTATACTTTTATTGTAAAAGCTACATAAAGTTTGAAATTTATGAATCTATTATTATGCGTGATGAGAAGCATTTGTATATACATTCATTAATATAAATTTTATTCATCACATTAATGCTAATAAACATTCATCAACAACTTCTAAACCCTCACATCTCTCTCTCGCCAAAAATAAAGAGCATACCTTGTCAGTGTGGTTTGAGATATATCGGGTGAGATAACTAAACAAACATTAAAGCTTTGCATAAAGGAGCATGAAGCTTATGTCCGAAAAGGTGAAATCAACAGGTCTTCGATAGCTAATCGTAGTTGGAAATTTAATCACAACTCTGGGGACTTAGAATCTGCAAAAATTATCCAAAAAGCTTCTTTCATTGGTGAACTAGATTTTCTTGAAGCTTTTCACATTCGCAAAGATTTATCTTGTTTAGTTAATGACTTTAATTCCAATCCAGTCCTTTAAAAAATTTATTAACTTAATTAATTTTTCAATTTATTTTATTATTTATGCTGGCAGATGGTGCTACCTTCTCATTTGCTTTACTTGCTTTGGGTATAAATATAAATGTGGCTTTCCACTTGTTGCAGATTTCTTTGCTCCTGATGAAGACGGACTTGCACTTGTTTGCCCTCGGAATTGATAGTCTTGAATAAAATCTACACCAAAAACATGGCTGTTGTGTTTGGCGTTGATTTTAGAATACAATATATTAAAAAATATGCAATGTAAATATGGGAAAAATCAAGGTATTTTTAGGTATATTAACTCGCGGGAAAGCGCGTGGGGTGTATCATACCATACCCCTACATAAAAGTGGAATATTCCTAACTTGTGAAACTGATATTCTGTGCTGCCTTCAGTAGCTGAGTTTCTACTTGTGATTGACTTTCAGAACCGCTTTTTTCTTTGCCTGTGTGTTTCAGAAAATTATTTATTGGTATTTTGTTCGAACTGCGGTATGACACACACCCCGCGCCTGTCCACGTAAGTGTTTTTCTGACTGAATATTTAGTTCAGAAATTTATTTCTAGAGTGTAACAGTAAATATTTCTACTCGCAAGTGATTTTAAAGTACTTGACATTAAATTATATAATTATACACTGTTTTGGTTTCGAAAAAGATAAAACATTAATTCCTAATGTTCCTAAAAAAGGAAAAACTGTTCTTATGCTTTCAACATTATATAACGATCATACTATAGATGATACTATTGGAGAAAATACAACGTCAGGTATTATATGTTTTTATAACATGACTAAAGGAGCAGTGGATATGTGGGATGAAATGTCAGCCAATTATTCAATTTCCGGAATAACAAGGAGGTTGCCAATGCTAATTTTCTTTCCTGCACTGAATGTTGCTGTAATGAATGCTTGAATTATATTACATTCAACTGCTAATCCACCAGCCAGAATCAGAACTCTGTTTTTGAAGGACTTAGCAATACAGTTAATGAAAAAAGTATTGAAC